AACCCTAAACCGGATTGGAACAGAAAATCCCAAAAGGTACCGGAACTTAGAGAATTCGCCAAGTATCAAACCCCGGCTCCCGAGCGCATACTTCCCAAAGCAGTCCTGAGAGCAAGTTTTGCAAACCCTAAACCCTCAAGACCCTACAAGTTGAAATTATTCTAAAATAAACATAGAAGATCTTCAAGCTTTCCGCAAAACTTCCCCGAAACTTAGCACTGAATGAATTTCAAGAAGCCCGAAACCCTAAACCTAAACCCCAAATTCCCGCAGTCGCCTGCCCGAACCCCCAAACACCCTGGATCCGAGACCTCAAACCTGCATCCCTTCGAAAAGGTTTTGGGTGTTAAGGGTTTAATTAGGGGTTCGGGTTGAGGAACTAAAAAAACTGACGGAATACAACCCAATTCCCGCAACCTTGTAGCCGTCGCCCTACAGCCTATGAACCCTATTTCGCGAGCCTCAGAGCAGGTCCTAGACTCTAAACCCTAAACCCTAAACCTCTAAACCTCTAAACCCTAAACCCCAAACCCTATTTGAACCCTAGTTGAACCCTAAACCGTTTGGAGGTTCTGCTTGTCTCCCCGGCCCCGAGCCCACAGCGTCATTGGCCGAGATCTGCGGGGGCTGAGGTTTGAAGGTTAGGGATCTAAAGCTCAGGGAGTAGAGATTCAGAAAACGTCGCACTGCAGGCCCGAGTTTTGCAACGTTCTGCTTTGAACACTATATGCTTGGTTTTCGCATGATTCTGACTAGTAGTTAAACATGAAGAGAGTTGGGACCTAGGGTGTGTTATACCCTTAGGCTTTATACAGGCTTTCGGTAAGTTCGGCCTACCAAGTATTGTGTCTTCCGAGATTCTCTACCAGCAGGTTGAGCAAGCTCTGAACATGCCTCGACCCAAAAGCCTCCCTAAACCCTCAAGGCCCCAATCGACAGCCCTCAAACCTTTAAAAGCCAGCAAAAAAAAACGCCTCAACGCCCTTAGAACCGTTTACAAAAATCGCACAAGCCTCAGCACCCGAACTCCAAACCCTACAAAAACCCACAAGGCCTTAAACGCCCGAACGACCACGGCCTTGAGGATGCATTGGACAGCTGGTTGTTTAAACCGAAACCCTAAAGCCTAAAATCCCAAACCCTAAACCCTAAACCCCAAATCCTAAACCCTAAACCCTAAACCCTAAACCCTAAGCCTCCCCTTCGGCGAAACCAGGGTTCTCTAGGCACCAGGAAAGGCACCTGCACGGAACCCAGGTTGCCATTGCAATCGCCCTAAACCCTGAACCCTAAACCCTAGCCCTAAACCCTAAACCCTAAACCCTCAACCCTAAACCCTCAACCCTAAGCCCTAAACGGATGGACCTCAGCACGAACACGCCCCTACAGCCCAATGGCTCTGCAGCAGGAATTCCGACGGAGGTCGCAGAGACAGAGTTGGCGACTCAAACCTCATGGTTTCCCCTATAGGGGGGGTGGGGTTGAGGGTATGGGGTTTAGGGTTTAGGGTTTAGGGTTTAGGGTTTAGGGTTTAGGGTTTAGGGTTTAGGGTTTAGGGTTTAGGGTTTAGGGCTACTGGGGGGGGGCCCCTCTATACTAGGTAGGCCCTTGGGACATGTTTTGGTTTCCCTTACGGCCCGTACTGTGTTTAAGACGATCATATTTAGGACTATTTTTCAGAGGGGTTTAAGGGCCGCCCTAGTTTACTACCACCCCGAGGTTCCCCCCCATAATTAATAATTCAGCCTAGTTGAACTTATTCAAGGGGGGAACCAAGGCAGGGTAGTAGGGGAATCCATTGAAAACCTCTTGCAGGGAAGAGTTCTCGGACTGTCAGGTTGCGGCCCCAAAAATTTCTTTTGACCGGATTTACCCGGAACCCACCCCAACACCAATACCCTTGTGAGGGAGGGCTTTGATTCCCCGACCCCATTTTGCAGCATGCTTTTGCTCTGCCAGAGGGTAGTTTCGCGTTTAGGGTTCAGCCTCCGAGCAAGAATGTTGTAGTCTTTACTCCAAATTCCTGAACTCCCTGCGAGAGGCTGTGCTTTTTCAACTCTGGGGGCTGCGAGGTTTAGGGTCGAGGAGTCATGGGTTCTCGGGCTCGGGTGCTTTTGCAACCATGACCCTTGGTTTAGTGTGTCTTGCGTTGAGGGTTAAACCCTCGACCCCACCTTCATCCCCATATATATATATATATATATGATATCCACGCGAATAAATAAATGAACATACATATATATATACATATATACATATATGTATATATGTATATATGTTTTGCATGTGGTTTGTATTGACATTCATGTGTGTGCGTGTGTCTCGCTATCGCTCTCGCTCTATCTCGCTCTCGCTCTATCTCGCTCTCGCTCTCGCTCTCGCTCTCGCTCTCGCTCTCGCTCTATCTCGCTCTCGCTCGCTCTCTCTCT